GGGGGGGGGGGGGGGGGGGGGGAACGATAGGAATGAACCATGGTTCGAAAGAAGTTCATAGTCGTTCGCTCCGCCACCCTTCACAAAATGCATGTCTCCAGGCTCTAGTTTCGCTTTTCTTATGGGTGGTGGACGGAGTTTCAGTGGCCCAAGCTTCGAGATGCTCCCTCTAGCGTCTTCTACACTCACAGGTTTTTCCCGACCTTGGAGAAGCTGGGCGATTTAGCGTCTTCTGCTGAAGACTAAGGAGCCACCAAATCAAGTCCTGCCTGCCTCTGCAGCTCCGGACTGAAAGCTCTCGGGCCTTCACGCCTGTCATTCCTTTGCTTCCTCCTCTCCCATTGGCCCTTGGGAGATCGAGGCAGCTGTTTTTTGTTTTTTTTTAATCAATTGGGCGGGGCCCAACCACCGGAGGGTTGCGTCTTTGATGTCCTTCTTTGCCCAGTTCCAAGATGGCGCTCATGGCCACAATGGGAATGCAGCGTGAAGCCGCAGTCTTGCCATCACTCAAGATGGCTGCCCCCATCAAGATGACCGGGTGTGCCCGGGAGAAAGGGACAGCATGATGATCTGAGATGGTAAGGGATGCTGCTCCGTTGCGGTCTTGGCCTTGGAAGCTGGGAATGAAGAGTAGAGACGGTCGGAAGCTAGGTGAGGACTGTGGTGAGGGCTAGGATTAGAGAGTGGGAGAGAGGACAGGGGTGACAGGTGGGGGTGCGGGATCAGATAGGGCAGGAGTGTGCCTGAGGTCGGTCTCCCCATCGTTGCTCTCTCCCCCAACTCTTCCTGTTGCAGGTCTAGCATCGGACCATGTGGAAGTTTCTGGGACTGGGGAACCAGATGATGGAGGGTGGGGCCCGTGGTGGGTAGAGAGCGCACTAGCGTCCTTTCCTAGGCTAACCCCGTCCCCTCCCTGTCATCTGAACTAAAATGGGGAACACATTGGGCCTGTCACCGATGGGGACTTTGCCCCGCCGGGGCCCCCGCCGAGAGGAACCTCTGCCCAACCCTGGGAGCTTCGATGAACTGCACCGGCTATGCAAAGGTGAGAACTTGGCATTTGACTGTCTCAAGATGAAGGGGCGGAGGAGGGGAGGGTCTTAAATGCTGGGTGTCCAGCGATGGGAGCAGGAAAGGGGAAATCACAGGGGGCATCCGGTGTCAGGGAGGATCAGGTGCCCAAATAAGTGGAACATTTTGTTGCAGGACTTGAAAGGAGGTCAGTACCTCCAAAGTGCCTCCTATGGTATTGAAAGGGGAGACTACCTCTTGGGGTAGAGGTTTCTTGCCTGTGCTTATTCCTTGCCTTCTTCCCACCCCCTTCAGATGTATTCCCAGCACAGATGGAGGGAGTGAAGCTTGTTGTCAACAAGGTTCTGAGCAGCCATTTCCAGGTGCTCCCACTTCTCTGGCCCCTGCTTACTATTCTTCCTTGCCTATCCCTGGATACTCTTCTCCTTTGCTTTGTACTCCAGGCTTAGCCAGACTATTTGGGACAAATGAGGGAGGATGTGGGGCTCTCTTTACCTCCCTTACCTGTGGGACTTGTTGCTTTTAATCTGTTGGGATATTTGGGATTCTAAGGGTGATGCAGCACTGAAATGGAGTAGGAATGCTCTCTCCTCCATTGACTCCTCTTTCTTCAGGTGGCTCACTCGGTGCACATGAGTGCCCTGGGCTTGCCGGGCTATCACCTCCATGCGGCCTATGCAGGGGACTGGCAGCTTAGCCCCACTGAGGTGAGGGCACCATACACCTGCGTCATCTCCCTAAAAGCCCACCTGGGACTCGGGTCTGGAAGAGGAGGAAATGTGTGTGTTATGGCAGAGGGGAGGGAAACATTTGTGTGAGCAGCCCAGAGTTTATCTTTGTGCCTCCACCAGGGGGCGCTGGGTAAGGTTAATGAAATCCTTTGGGTTCAGTCTGAATGGTACTCAGCCTTACTGTCTACACTCTCCTTACTGTCTACACTCTTCATTCCACAGGTGTTCCCCACTGTGGTAGGGGATATGGACAGCAGCGGCAGCCTCAACGCCCAGGTCCTGCTCCTCTTGACAGAGCAGCTCCGAGCTAAGGCTGTTTTCCAGGTGACCTACAGTTTCTGCCTCCATCCACTGAGGCACTTCCTCTTTCTCCTGCATGAGTGTCCTGCTCTGGTGGTTCCAGGGGGAGGAGCAGGGGCAATAGTGACCATTAAGAGGGAGAGAGATTTTACTTCTTGCTCTCCCCACCCAGACACAGCAGGCCAAGTTCCTGACATGGCAGTTTGATGGAGAGTACCGGGGAGATGACTACACAGCCACTCTGACTCTAGGAAATCCTGACCTGATTGGGGAATCGGGTGAGGAATTGGGGCAGGGCTCTTTTATCTTGGCTGCCCATCTGCTAATGTTGGCTATGCCTCTTTATCTTCTGTACAGTTTGGGGATTAGATAAGGAACTTCTTGGGCAGGCTGGGATTGGGGTTCCTGGGGAGAGGGAGCTGGATGTTGTCTCTATGACTGAGTTCATGTCTCCCCACTCCCACAGTGATCATGGTGGCTCACTTCCTACAGAGCCTCACTCATCGGCTGGTGCTGGGAGGAGAGCTAGTTTATCACCGACGGCCAGGCGAAGAGGGGGCCATCTTGACACTGGCTGGGAAGTATTCAGGTATGGGGCAAGGTGGGGTAGTGATGGAGGTGGCAATTCTGGACTTCGTTAGGGTTCCTGGCCTGTGTCCTACTATAGTAATGCTCCTTTCCCCCTGTACTTTGGTTTTACAGCCGTACACTGGGTAGCTACATTGAATGTGGGATCAGGCGGGGCCCATGCAAGTTATTACCACAGGGCAAATGAACAGGTGAGATTATGGGTCTCATCCCTCACCCCAGCAAGTCAGTGATGAACTTTTGCCCCTCTGGACCTCCACTAGCCCTGCTGACATGGTATTCTTCCTACCCACACTACATAAATATTCTCATGTGTGCCTTTGTTCTGCTGCTCCCCTCTCAGAACCCATCTAGTCTTCACTGAGAATGATCCCTCTCTCATCTTTGCCCATGGTTCTCAGGTTCAGGTTGGAGTGGAGTTTGAGGCAAACACACGGCTACAAGACACAACCTTCTCCTTTGGTTACCACCTAACTCTGCCCCAGGCCAACATGGTGTTTAGAGGTAAAGGTTATTGCAATGACATTCAGATGTGCTGAGGGACTGGGGGATACAGAGGGAGACAAGCTCTACCTTACTTCTGCGTACTCCTTTCTCCAAGCCCTCTTAACTAACTTAGTCAATATTCTCTTCCCCAACAGGCTTGGTGGATAGTAACTGGTGTGTAGGTGCTGTGCTGGAGAAGAAGATGCCCCCCCTCCCTGTCACCCTAGCCCTCGGAGCCTTCCTCAATCACTGGCGCAACAGATTCCATTGTGGCTTCAGTATCACTGTGGGCTGAGGTTGTCCCAGAACCAGTACGCACAGCAGCTGGAACCTCTGAGTCAGATGCCCTAGGGCCAGAGACTAGGCCTATCTCCAGAGTCCACCATCCTGGGTAACTTCTAGGTCCCAGGAGCAGAGTGGGGGACAGGACCATGCCCTCCTCAGAACTAGAGCTACCACAGGGGCAGCCAATAGGGCAGTGGTTTGAGGCTACCACCTCTGCCACCAGCCCCACTATCATCGTCCTCGTGCTCTCATGGCTCTGGACTAAGGGAGAAGTATTAAGGGGTATGTCTGGCTGAATTCCCCCTTCCCCCTCTGCTTCCTTCTTTGTTTCCCTTTTGATTAAAGCTCCTAGCCCCTTCGTCTTCGGAGCAGAAAAGTCTGCATGGGATTAGTTCCCCATCTGGTTTTGTACCCCAGAGCTTCCCAAGGCTGGGAAAGTAGGGCTGAAGGGCTAAACCTTTGGTCTCAGAAGGTGGAGCCCACCCATTCCCAGAAGGAGCTTCTTTACCTCTCAACCCGTGAGGCTTCTTCCTTGCCCATCTTCTGTGGTTCCAGAGAAAAACTTTGTCGCCATGGTCACCCCCCGCTTCCCCCATGATGCATGAAGAGGCAATTATTGCTTTAATCTTTCATTGTAGCCACGGGGCTCCTTTTCTACTGGTCACAATCTCTGGTCCCAGTATTTGCCCCTTTCCAGTCCAGTGTGTCCCAGGTGGGCTGGGGACGGTGGTGAGCCCAGGCCTCAGCTACAGATCTCCTGGAGCAGTGGCATCATGGCAAACAGTCCCTGGATATGTTGGATTTGGTACTCATATTCATTCTTAATGCTCCGGAGCTCAGCCAACAGGCCCAGCAGCTTTGCATACAGAAACCTTTGGAGGAAGTAGTGGGGTTACCAGGGAAAGCGAAGGGAAATACAGCAGCTGGTGTCTTGTCCTGAGGCCCTGATCCCCTGAACTGTCTCTCAGTGAAGCTAGGTCTGAACATTAGAGAAAATCATGTTCTGGTATGACACATCAAAGGTTCCAGAGGTCCCCAAGGGGGCCTCTGCCTGACATTGTTTTTTCTAGCCATGCTTGGTTTTTCCTGAACCCAGAGCTCTGAAGGCCAAGTGTGAAGAAAGCCCCAGACTTGGCCAGAACTTCAACTGTGTAGAATCTGAGGGTCTGACCTTCTATAGCAGGTTCTAGAGGGTGGGCATGTTCTATGGTTTAAAGCATCCCCTCTCTGGCCAAACTGGCTCATTGAGGAATGAGCAAGAACAGAAGTGGTGCGTACCTCAAAGCCTTGATAGATCACGGACTATTGAACCAGGGACTGGTTTTGTCCATGAAACTGTGAATGACCATAACTTCGAGGGAAATGAAAAATTAAAGGAATTGGCCCAATGGAGAGGAGAGGAAGGGCCAAGGAAAAAGAGCAAACAAGACTCTTAAAAGTCTGCTTTAATCTGGGAAGTTGGACTGGTAAGGTGATGGATGTCATCAATCTCAGGAATGCTATTATAAAGAGCCTGTGAGCTACTACTTTGCATCTCTACTGAATAAAAAAATCTGGAAAAAGTGAGATGAAATGGCAGTGAAGTAAGGGCACTTTGAATGCTATAAATACGTGAGATGGGGATGGCCAGAGTGAAGGACTAGACCCCCAAGAGACCTGGTTTCCCAAAGAAAAGGACAGTAAAACATTCATCCTGAGCTCAGTGTTCTAACTTCTTCCTGCCCTGGTAAGGTCTCCAAGCCCCAGTCTCCCACTATACCTGTCCCGGGGCCTTGGCTGCTGGCCCTTGATGTAGCTCTGCAGAGTCAGTGCCATCTCCTCTTGCAGCTGATCAATCTCCTCTCTCTGGGTAACTCCAGGCCGGTCTGTAAGATAGGAAACTGGGAAGGACAACGTGGGGGGTGGGGTGGGCCTGCACAGAGCCTTAGGAGCGAGGCTGGTATAGACCTACTCTGCAGGTTTGAAGGCTAGAAGTCCTGGGATGGATGGATTCAAGGAGTTGAGAGTTTGGACAGAGGTGGTGAAGCAAAAGTTTCTGGGCTTTGGGAGGTACTCACCAGGAGAGAAGAGGGCCATGGCAGCCATGAGCACATACTCAGGCTCTTGCAGCTGCAGTCGTCTCAGTGTCCCATGAAAGTGAAAGAGCAACTCCAAAAACTCAGCCTCGAACCCCGCTGTGGGAGATGCTAGGTTTAGGAGCCTCCAGGTCACCTTACCACATACCATACCACAAGGATACATGCCTTCTGCTGCTCTGTCAAAGTACCATGGGCTCCATCTTCCATTGTGTAGCGAAGAGGCCCACAGAGGAAGTTTTGTGTTTGGAGACAGAAAGTTGTATTGAGTGCAATGTGACAGATTTCCAGAGCTGCTCCTTTGAGAAGGGAGATCTGGTCCTCTATGGGCAGGGACCTGTGGGGAGCAGGAAACAAGGGCACTTTAGACTCAAACCTGAACTTCAGAGAGGGAGAGGAACTCCCAGTCCTGATTGACACATTTAGAAACAAAGCTGGGAATTCTAGACCTGGTGCTTGGAAAGGCTGAGGGATGCGTTAGTTCAGTCAATGACTTTTTTGCAGGGGTTAGGGTATGCGTTACTGAAATGTTTGCTTCCTGAAAGATGAGGGGAGGATACTCACCGGAAGAGGGGCAGATCCTTGGTGAACTTGATGATTTGCTGTACCATGAAAGTGTTGATGTCTGCGATGTGTGTGAGCAGAGGCAGCACAGGGGCCAGGGCAGGCAGGGGTTGGTGATGGATGAACAGATGAGCTGGAGGCTGCAGAGATCAGAACATGAGCAACACCCTGGCTCTAGGGCTCTCCTTCAGGCTTCTCCAGTCTTGGAAGGGTTCCTTGCTGAGGAGCTTGCCCAGGCTGGGGTTCTGGAGAAGTCCTGTCCTCAATATTGGTGCATGGCACATAGTCCTCTCCCTGAGATCAGCCTCCTTGGGTTCCCTTTTGGTCACAGTCCAGCCCAGATCCTATAAGTGCTCACCCTGAACTGCACAAACTGGTCAAACATGGTGCCTACGTGGCGAGTGTGGGCCCCCAAGAGTGTCTGGACCAGCTCCTTCTGCTCCTTACTCAGCTGCATAGGTTTTTGCTGTGCCCGCCGCTGGGCCTGCTTTGCTCGCCGCAACGCCAGGGCTTCTGCTGACAGTATCACTGTGCCAAGCAAGAGATATGACAAAGGTAATGAAACCAGCAGAGAGCACCACCTCTCTCTTCCAGTCCTTGATCTGGGACCCTCAGCTGCCCTGCACAATGAAGGATGGGAGAAGGGAGGAAAGTTTCTTGGGCTTCCTGGGGCTTGGCTGAAATCCAAGAGGCTCCAGGTGGCAGGGGATTCTTGCATGCTCTCACCAACCCATGAGGCACTGCGGCAGAAATCAGTGCACTGTGGGAGAGAAGGGAAGGGTGGCGAGTAAAGTGGGGAGGGTGTAAGGAGATGTTTAGCTTCTGGGGAAACATTGAAGAGGGAGCAGTCTCGATAACTGAAATATCACCTTAGTTTGAGTAGCATTGTCATTTCAAAGGTTCCAAGTTTAAATAAATCTCACTGGATGAAACAATGCTATCATAGACAAGGCAGGTCTTATTCAGGTTTTTCAGAAACATAAACAGGCTTAGATTCCAATGATAGTCCAAGGTCACAAGATGAGTGACGTGGACTGAATTCAAACCACAATCTTTTGACTTCTACAGTTTCCTTTCCACTGCTCTGTATTGAAAAATAATATGATATATTGGAAAAAGCAAGAGTTTGGGAGTCAGACAGACTTGAGTTTGAATATTGACTGTACAACTTTTTAGTTGAATGCAAGTTAACCTTTTTTTTTTTTGGCTGCTGGACATATGAGGATGCAAACCCTGACGTTGGTGTTATAACACCACACTGAAGCCAACTGAGCTACCCGGCCAGCCAGCAAGTTAACTTCTGTGAGCACCAGTTATATCATCTGTTGGGCATATAGCATAGTTACCTAGCATAGAGAAAGCATTAATTAAACACTTATTGAGTACCTACTAGGTGGCAGACACTGTACTCAAGAGATAGAAGAGAGAAGGAAAGCCATAGCTATATGAATATCTAGGAGAAGGGCTGGCGAACTAGCTCAGTGGGTTAGAGTGCAGCCTTGTACCACCAAGGTCACAGGTTCGGATTCCCCATACCGGCCAGCCACCAAAAGAAGAAAAAAAAAATAATATCTAGAAGAGTCTTTCAGGTAAGGGAGAGGATAAGTGCAAAAGTCCTGGGGAAGAGTGTGTTTGGTGCGTTCAAGGTTGACATTAAAGTCAGTGTGGCTGGAATGGATTGAGCAAGGTAGTGTGGGGGAGCTAGACCATGAGATCATGTAACTTAAGAGAGATAGGGAGCCATTAGAGGTTTTGAGCAGAATAGTGACATAATCCAACTAGTTTCAAAAAGCTTACTCTGCCTGCTGTGTAGAGGCTGAGCTTTTACAAGGACAAAGCAGAGAGACACAGTCAATGGATTCTTGGGATGGTAGGGGGCAACTCACTGTCTTTCCTCATGCCAGCATCCAGGCACTTCTGCAACCTACAGGCTGGGCAGTGGCGCCTCTGAGCCTTGCTGACCTCACAGCTTCCAGCGAAGGGACAAGTGAGACCAGTGCTTTTGCCAACTGTTCGTCTGTGAGAGACAGAGACATTATTAGGGTCTGGAATGGCAGCGAACATGCAGGTGAGAATGGAAGGGGCTGAGGACATGGTCTAAAAGACCTGGGAATCTGTGGTGACATGAGCTAATCTGAGCTGTGCCCAAGGTCCCCAGGGGTGGATAGGACAGGACACATCTCAAGCATTTCCATGGGGACACAGGATCACTCAGGAAAGCCTAGTTGATATAATATACTAACTCGGTGCTTTGCAGGTAGTGGGTACATAATAAGTACTCTTGGCTAATGAACTGTGTCCGTCAGACAAAATCTGGCCTCTCTCTGTTATTACGCCACCAGTCTATGTATCTTGTGGGTGGCAAGATGTAAAGTGCTAGCCACAGGGTAGTTAGACTCCAAGATACAGAAGTAATGTGGCTGGACAAACTCAAGCCTGTGCTGGGGTTTTTAGGTTTACTGATTGGAAGTTTGGGGGGTTATTTCTATTGGGGAGGAGGCTCTCACCTGAAGAAACCCTTGCAGCCTTCACAAGTCAGGGCATGGAAGTGATAGCCTGTGGCTCGGTCCCCACACACCACACAGTTCCTTGGCTCGTCTTCTCCACTGGCCATGGCTTTAGGTGTTGGAGTGGCCACTACAGACCCCTGAATGTGTAAGGGGTTAGTAGTCTGCTCTGGGCCACCCTTGACCTTCTCTCACTTCTGCAGAGCCTCTTCCTATATCTGACCTGAACCTGATCCCCAGCACTATCTGTACTTTATTGCTTTTAGTCTCTGGCCCCCAACAATTTTCCTACCTGCTCCTCTTAGGCAGCATGCCACCTGCAGGCCACAGAATCTGGTGTGGTATGCCTCTCCCCAACTCCCACGCTGGCTTTGCTTTCCCTCTGATCTCAGGAGCTGCCAGTGATTGGAGTTAGGACTATGGCTATCGGTATCTGAAAAACAAGGGACTTCTGTCGTGTGTGCCCTTAGTTGCTCTCAGCTACTATGTAGGTAGGGCACAGACTCTGAACCCAGGGCAAAGGCCTGGATGGGAGGTTTTCCTAGCATGCCCAAAGTGCTGGTTGGTGGTACATGGGGAGGGACACCAGTGGGTGGTGACCTCATGACATATTAGAAGCTGCTCTTTATTAGATTTATGGAGATTTTCCCTACTGCTGAGCTTTAGGCTACATCTGCAGCCTCCTCTGTACAGGGATCCTTGCCAAGCTGGGAAGAGAGAAAGAGGGGGAGAAACAGAGCAAGATTTTTCACATGCAGTATGTCAGTAGTAAAAAGAATAGGTGTAACAATTGCACAAGTTTCCCAAAAGAAAAGTTCTTAAAACGAGACTGGAGTCTAATTAAGGGCCCATGCAAAGAGCTAGAAGGAGTCCCACTTCCTTACTAGGGAAGGTTGAGAATTAAGTCAGAGTTGGGGTTGATTTGGGAACTCTTGCATCAGAGCTGGCTTCATGGGTGTGTGACCTGTGCAGTCACACAAGGCTCTGCATTCAGAGGAGTCCCCACGCTTGGTTCAATGCACTGCTGTTGCCATCTTGAAATGCTTAATGATTTTTTAACAAATATGCGCACACACACACACACACACTCAGAGACAGAGAGGAGAGACTGAATTAAAAAGAGCCTTGTCTAGGTTCCCAGATGAGTTGGTAGAATCCTTAACTGCAAATCGTACAACATCCAACTATGCATAACTTTGCATTTTGAAATAAGGTGAGTTTCAGAGAGCATCAGTGCTTTGATCTGGTCCTTGGGAAATGGTGAGTATATTTGTTTGAATATATCTGTTGGTGCCTTTTCTTGAATGTGTCTCTGTGCGAATTCATACTAATTCATTCAATCAACAAATATGAGAACATACTATGTGTTAAACACTCAGGATAAAAGATGAATAGGATGCTCTCCTGCCCTCATGGAGTTTAAATGCTAGTCAGGGAGATAGACCTTTAAACAAATATAAAGAAATATAGTCAGATCAACGATGGTGCTATGCGCAGAGCACGATGAGACCACAGAAGATGAACACCTAATCCTGCTTTGGCAAAGGGATGTTGAGGAGGAGGCAGGATAGGCTTCTTGGAGGAGTGGCAAATGAATTGGTTTTTAAAGGATAATGCAGAATTAGCCAGGGAAAAGTAAAAGGCGTCTAGGCAGAAGGTGTAATCCGAGAAATTCAAGAAGCCAGATACAAAAAGATAAAATCGGGTAGAACCACAAGCAGGCCTCTCTTGCTGGAGCACGACATTTCAGGTGGGAAGTGGGAAGAGATAAGGCTGGATAAATTGGATATGAGGCTGAGATGTAGGTAGGGCCAGATCACAGGAGACCTCATGTGTCCATAAAGCTTTTAAAGGGTAAGCTGGGAAATGACACAGTCAAATCTATATTCTAGAAAGCTTACTCTGCTGGCTGTTTAAGGATGAGTTTGAGGAGGCAGGACTGAAGGCAAAAAGATCTGTTAGAAAGCTATTCCTTAATGAAGGTGAGAGATTAAGCCTGAACAAGGATAGTGGTAGGATGTAGAGGAGGAAAGTGTTTTGAGAAATACATGGGAAGGGAAACAGTACTACGAAAATATCTGGGCTGAGCAGGAAGAAGAGGAGTCAAAGGTGACTCCAGGTGCCTAGTGTGGTAGATTGAGAGGACAGCGGTATCACCAACCAGGAAAGAGACTACAGGAAGAAGAGAGGGGTCCTCCATACTTGGGCCCTGAAACACTTCCACAGTTGACAATTTAACCTAGCAATAAGTTATCAAGGGCCCACTCTGTGGCTAGGCACCATGAGAGGGACAAAAGAGAGGGTCCCTATTACAGAGAAAATTGCAATCTAATTATGGAGACTGAATAAACTCCTAGATCTTAAAAGGAAATACATACTTGAACTCTAAATTGTGTGGTAAAGATTATGTAGAATATTATAGGTACTACAGGTAATTTCCTCATTCATTTATTCTTATTGGGTGTGCAATATGAGCAGAATACTGAGTAACGATCCTTACCTGTGTTAACCCTATAAGATAGGTAATATCACTTTTTTATAGATGAGAAAACAGGCTCAGAGAGTTTCAATAACTTGTACAAGGGCTAATATACCCAACAGTTTATTAGATGAATTCACATGGATCTTACATAGGCATCTCAATTTTAATATGTCTAAAATGGAGCTCACTGTCAACCCTCCACAAACTAACTTCTATATTTTCTTGGTGATTATCCCAACATAAGAAAGTGGGTAATGTGGGCTTTGGAGTCATACAGACTTAGGTTCATATTCTCACTCTGGCTCTTACTAGCTGAATTACTTCTTTGCTTCTTAGTGTTTGATATGACTGAGACCCAGCTCCATGAGGCCCTGGGAATGAGATATCACCAGGCTGGGCCAATCCCAGACGGTGGAAGGAAGGCATACATCCTCTTCCTAGATCAGCATTGAATGCTTAGAGAGAGGCCAGGGGGAGAAAGATGTTCTGATCCAGGTCTGCCCATTCACTTGGGACCTAGGGATTACCCTGAACCTTGTTCTTGGAGAAGTCCACCTTGCAGTTCTTTGAAATGAGGTTTCCTAGGGGACAGACCTCTCTGAGCTTGCTCTCCTATGTTCAGAAATGCTCCCCCAGCTTTAGGATCTTTCCCATAGAGCAGACTAAGACTGGAATCTGCTGCAGGATACCCCTGGCATCCATGGCAAACAAGCTTTCAGGGTTAACTGATGTCTTCACCCTCTCCCAATCTGCCTATCCCAGGTCAGGGTCTGAAAAACACCTATGTTGGTTAAGCTCTCTAAATTTCAATTTTCTTATCTGGAGAAGAGGGTTAATAACACCCATTATCCAGGTTTGCTGTGAGGATTAAATAAAGTAATATATATAAAATTCCTTACACAGTGCTTGGAACAAGGAAGAAAGTCAATACATTTCATTCTCTTACCCTCTTCCTTTCCTTCCCCTCCACTGCCACCCTCTCCCAGCTGCCAAGCAGGAAGCTGGGCATTCACCTAGCCTCCCTTCTCTCCCTCCCTAAAAATGACCAGATGCCATGACCTGTCATTCCTGTGTCCTGACCTCTACCTGCCCACTACATTTTAGCTGAGTTCAGGCCCTCGTCATTTTCCACTCATTACTCAGTTGCTTATTAAATTATTCTCCCTAGTCCCAGCCTAGTCTCCTTCCAACCCATCCTCCATACTGTTGCTATTTCTAAAATGCAAATTTGATCATGACTCTCCCCTGCTTAAAATTCTTCATTTGCTTTCCATCACCTTCAGGATAAAGCCCAATCTCTTTAGCATATTACACAAAGTTCTTGGTGATCAGGCCCCTATTTATTACTCTGGCCTCATCTATTCCATCCCACTTCCGTCCTCCGACCTAGCACATCACACTTTGGCTCTAGACGTGATTCAGCATTTAGAGTTCCCTGAATTCACTGTGATCACTCACCTCTGAACATCTTGCCTTGTTGTTCTGTCTGGTTGGAATAGCCTCACACACCCGTACTTATAAACCCTCCTCCCCTGGTCCTCCTGACCCTCTTGATCCTCCAGGCCTGAGTGCAGCAGATCACCTCTGGGAGTCTACAGGTTGAGCTACACTTCTGTGCACAAATTCATCACAGCACTTATCACATTGCAGAACAACTGTCTGTTTCTTCTGACTCTGTCAATCAACTGTGAGTTGTTGAAGTCAAGGGCTGCACTCTTTATTTTTGGATCCTTAGGGTCTCGTGTATTCCAGGCACATATAATAAATGTTTATAGAATGAATAAACAGGCTACAATATGATTTAAGGTTTGATTCCAAACTCATGCTCTTTCCATTAGCATCATAGGCTATTATTTGTGAATGAATGCATTCATTCATTCAATAAATATTTACTAGGTATCTACTTTGTGCCAAGTATTTTGCTAGCACTTTAGGTTCCATGGTGTCCTCTGGAGACATTCCTATTTCCTTTTTAGTTGCTGTCTTTTTTTTTTTTTTTTAAAGATGACCAGTAAGGGGATCTTAACCCTTAACTTGGTGTTGTCAGCACCACGCTCTCCCAAGTGAGCCACGGGCCGGCATTAGTTGCTGTCTTTCATAGCTTGTTATTCTTTGCTATCCCGACTGGCAGGATTCTCATTAGTCTTCTAGTCCAGTTCCTGACTCCTTTCTGACTTCTGAACTGTTGCTACCTGCTGTTGTTACCTGCCGTGTTTGTACTTGATATCTGGCTGACCTCACTCAGGTGTTTATTGAGCCAAATTTCCAGTCTGAGCCTGCTCTATTCTATCCTGTTTGCCCCCCCCCCCCCCATGTAATGGCACAAACACTTTTTTAAACAAGGATTCCTTTCCTTTGAGCCTTGTTATCTGGTGTCCCCCCTCCCCCTGCTTGTTTTTCAGCAGCTGGCCAGCTTGGGGATCCAAACCCTTGACCTTGGTGTTATCAGCACTGCAATCTGGTTTTAATCTTCGTTCCTTAAATTCACTAATGATCTCCTATGGTCTTTTGAATTCAATGGGCTTTTTCCTACGTTTCTCCCCATCAAACTCCCTACTGCTTTCGACTCCTGTCACAACCACTTTCTCTTCTTTGAAACTCTTTTTCTCCCTAACGTCTATAATGTTATGCATTCTTGGTTCTCCAAATGTATTTCTTTCTTCTTCTTCTTTTTTTTTTTTTTGGCGGTTGGCTGGTGTGGAGCACCCAAACCCTTGACCTTGAATTCACTAATGATCTCCTATGGTCTTTTGAATTCAATGGGCTTTTTCCTACGTTTCTCCCCATCAAACTCCCTACTGCTTTCGACTCCTGTCACAACCACTTTCTCTTCTTTGAAACTCTTTTTCTCCCTAACGTCTATAATGTTATGCATTCTTGGTTCTCCAAATGTATTTCTTTCTTCTTCTTTTTTTTTTTTTTTGGCGGTTGGCTGGTGTGGAGCACCCAAA